TGGCGGCGGCGGCGGCAGGGCGAGCGGGGCGGGGCTGGCTAGGGTTTGGCCCGGGGGGGCTGGGCCGGCTTTTATTGCCTAGCCGGGCCAGAGTCCTAGTTGGACACGGCCCGTTAGGTCGGTTCATTTTTTTATTATTCCGCTCAGAAGAAAAATAAAAAGAAATACTAAACGGACTCTAAAAATTCCGAAACAAATTTTCACGGGCTTCTAAAATCAAGCAGCACAAGGTGAACATTTATTTAGGACCTAAATGCAATTTTGAAAAACGCATATTTTTCCTAAATTCAAATAAAACACCGAAAAACTCCGAAATAAAATCTTATTTGATTTTATTATTAAATCCTCAATATTTCTTTATTTTGGGAAAGTCATTTTATTCCCTCTCTCTTATTTTTGTAATAGAAATAATTGATGATAAAATAAATAAAATTAAATGATCCTATTCTCAAAATTTGAGAAAACTCAAATATGAAAATAACGAAATCCCCAACTCTCTCCGTGGGTCATTGAGTTGCGTAGAATTTCTAGGATCAACCAAAATGCAAAATAAAATATGATATGCATGGTGATCTAATGTATAACATTCCAAATTGAAAATTTGGGATGTTACAATGGTTCACAAAATTCTAAAATGTTTTCCCCCCTGAAAAGACTTATCAGTTCACAAAACAAAAAAAATAGTAAATCCTTTGAACTAATATACTCGATTAAACGACAAAACAACATACACTCGTATAGAGCACATTTTGAATATCATCGAAGCATGCCTAAAAATGGTTAAAATGCAAAGTTCTGTATTCCAAGTAGATAGATGGGGGTCTTATTTCATATAATAAGGTGAATGAGAGGGAAAGCAAAACAAACAATCGAGTAATTAGCTAGTGAGTTGAGACAATCCAAAATAAAATGAGTCCAACTGGCAACAAAACGAAAAATCAAATCAAAATGACAACTGTACCAATTTATTAGTGGAATCTCTGCCTCAAAGATGGTAGTGGAATGTAATACTTGAACAAGTTTAGAAATGCAACCAGTCGTATAGACTATAGAGCTGTAGGGTATTGCCACACATGCGGTACAGGAAAACATAGTCGTTAGTTCTAATGCTGGTCCTTCGGCATGATTGGCAAAAACACCTAATGATCAGTAAAACACAAGCAAGTATTTGACGAAACCTATAAATGTAGATAACCCAGTTTGCATGTGTCTAACACAGTCTACGATAATAATGGACTTCTCTTTCTCATCTTCAGAACATCAATACTTGAACAATCCATACAGTGGACGATAGAACGAAACGTTATCATACCTTGCCAGCATATCGTCAAGCACCTTCTCCTTCAAGTAGAGGGCACAACTTATTATTTACCAAAGAGGGAGGCCATGGCATGATGCAGGGCCGGACATGGCTGTCACATCTCTTCTGAAAGAGCATGTCCAGCTTCGCCGTCTCCATGCATAAAGACAGGAACCACGAAGGAACATGAACATTATGGAACGTTTCACCAGTAGAGAAGTACACAAACCCATCAATAGTATCCACAATATGCAGCTCAACATCTTCTAGTGAGCCCCCAGTGGCCTCAACAATCGACTTTAACTCTAACTGAAACTTCTTCTCTAGCATCCATCTCTCGAAGCCGTCCTCATCAGCTCGCCAGAACCAAACATGGATACCAAAGTCAACTGGGCAAACGATACAAAGCCTCCCATCCTTGGCCTCCCCAGGCCACACAAGGTGAATTTTCCCTTCCAAGAATGGTGGCAGATCCATCCGAGAGAAATGTAGCGTTGCGGTGTTCAGCACGAGCAAGCCGGCTTCATTTGCTTGTATCCAATAGATGAACCCATTCACCATCGTGCCAACTTTAAGCCAGTGTTCGTCTTCAGGCAGTGGCTCCACAGCCTCAGACCACGGGAAGATCCGCCACTCCCTGCTATCTGACGAGAAGACGGCGGCGCGCGCCCGCGACTCGTCGTGACAGATAGTGACAAGGCGGAACGGCCCGTCGCCCTCTTCGGAGGCGAGGATGAAGCAATCGAGGTGCGAGGTAAGGCCGTGGCCGTCGTCGAAGAACTCGTCGGGCGTCGGAGGGACAAGATCCAGGGCCCCTGTGAGGGGGTTGTAGGCTGCGAACTGCCCCGTCCTTCCGTTGCAGAGGAGCACGTAGCCTCCCCGGCAGTCGCACACGAACCACCCAGGGGAGGCGTCGTCGTCGTCGGGGAGGCGGGTGAAGAAGAAATCGGCGCCGCGGACGGCGGCTGCGAGGTCAGGGTCGGAGCGGCGGCGGACGGGGGCGAAGGCAGGGATGGCGGGGCCGTCGGGGTCGAAGAAGAAGCCGAGGAGAGGGGGTGGGTGGGCCGCGCGGAAGCTGCGGCGGAAGACGGGGGACGAGCGGACGGCGCTGAGGAAGGTGCGGCAGCTGAGGGCGGCGCGGACGAGGCTCGGGAGGGAGGGGAGGCGGAGGAAGATTTCGCGGAGGAGATCGTCGCCGAGATCGATTACGGTGGTGGGAGCAGGCGGCGGCGGCGATGGAGATGGCGACGATTGCTCGGAGGCCATGGCTTTGCACGGAATTCCGACTTGCACTGCCGCGGAAGGAGAGTGCTCAGGTAGGACCCACTAGTCTGTCTCTCTGGATCCACTGGGTAAAAGAACTGTAGAGTTTCCCTGCAGAAAGGGCGCGGCCGGGGTGTGCACCGCCAAACCAGGCCGAATAGCCGGTCCAGGCGTGGCGGCCCGATAGCCCGCATGCCCGGCCAGTGGTGGACCTAGCCCAGCACGTATACAATCGGGTCGTGCCGGCACGTGGCCCGTCTAGAGCCGTGAGACAGGCCCAAAACAGTCTAAAATCAGGCGGGCTGATGAGCTAAACGTATCGGTGGGCCGCTCTGTTTCCTTGTGTCGTGCATGGCCAGAGCACAAATGCAAAGAGCGTAAAAGAGGTGGTAATCACTAATTAAAAAGCATTCATTTCTTTAAAAAAACTAATTAAAGAGCACTTCTTGCAAAGGTCACTACCACTTTCCAATAATTATTCAGTGTGGCACTTGTCGTAATCTTGAAGTTTTTTTTACAGATTTGTTTATTCAAAATGTTTTACCTCTTTTTCCGCAAAAAAAAATGTTCTAGCTCTTAAACCGTGGCCTATAAGCTAACATGTGGTGCATTGCAGCTTCCTTCACAAACTTTGGATTACTTAATGCACAATGGCAAAACGGGATGAAGAAAGTGCAAATCTAGGGGTTGCATTCTTCTAAAAGTATCATATCTTCTTTCCTTAGGGAGAAAGCAGAAACCAGAAACGAGTGGAGGTTCGATCTCTCACCCAAAGAAACCGGAGCTGGTGGAATCTTCCCCTATAGACTCTGAAAAACATCGTGTACCTTTTCCCTATAGACTACGAAAAAGGTGGCATTTGACATCTAAAGTTTCATCACCCCTACTACTGCCCAAAATCCTGCCTTGGTGAGCTCTCCCCAAGGTGACACCGAAGGTCTACCTCCTTTCGTGCGCCTCTCGCGTTCCCTTGACCTGATGCATCTGTTTAAAAGTAAATGGTAGGGTCAAATCAGGCAAAGCTATAAAAGAGCAGTGACCAGACAATTCTTCAATGTTGTGAAGGCCTCAACAAATATGCCCCCAATCACGCTGCCTATGTGAACAAATTATAAAACTTTGCATAAGCAGCTTAATTAAGTAGAAAAACCTAATCGATAGCCTACTATTTATACTTGTCTTTCTCTTTTTTGCTCTGCTATGGAGTTCTTTGATGGTCTATCTTCGCACCTGGCGCTTCTGGCGCTTTCTTCCTTCCACCTTCCTCTTGTACTCGACTCTTCCCCGATCACTCCCCGAAAATGGCAGCAGTGACCATAGTAGCTGCATGAATCAAAGCAGATACTGGAGTGGGACCCTCCATTGCATCGGGTAACCGGAGCTAGCGCAATTGGGATTTAGAGTCCCATGCGTGAAACTAAAGAGGATTTTCAGTCCTATGCTCTACCAGCCAGAACCTAGAAGGACACTTCACACCCGATTTGACACAGCTAGACTGGAGACTACTTGAACAGATGAAATGGAAGGAAGAAATGAAAGTTCAGTCTACCAACATAGAGTCCGCCCCTCCCAGGAAGAAGAAATTTGCTACTTTGGCTCATCAATTGGTAAGTCTGTCTATGAAGTTCAGTGCCCAGAGGTATGACCTCGGGAAGAAACAAAGATCGGGCGGGGAAAACGGGGTTCGAACCCGCGACTTCTGGCGTGACAGACCAGCAGCCAAATCTTGAACTCTTTTTACTGTTGAATTCCTCGAGTCGAGCTCTTCTAAATTAGATCTCATGTTGATAGATTTTAATGATTTTTTTTCAAAAAAACAAACGAAAAATCAAACCGGGACCATGATTTTTTTTCCTTCTGAAAGAGGCATAACTGTGCCTCCCGCGGAAGCAAATCCGTGCCTCCACGAGAAGTAAACCCATGCCTCTCGCAGAAAGAAAAAAAGTTTTCGAGAGGCACGGCCGTGCCTCTCATGGAAGCAAAATCGTGCCTCTCGTGGTAGGAAAAAAAAGAAAACATATTTTTTCCATTTTCGTGAGGCACGGTCATGCCTCTCGCGAAAGAAAAAGAAAAAAGAAAACTCATTTTTTGTTCGTTTCCGAGTTCCTCTCGCGGAAGCAAATCCGGACATCTCGCGCAAGGAAAAAGAAAAAAGGAAATGTGCTTTTTCCCGTTTTTGAGAGGAACGGTTATGCCTCTCGCGGAAGCAAATCGTCCCTCTCGCAGTAGGAAAAAAATAAGAACACATTTTTTTTCGTTTCCAAGAGGCACAATGCCTCTCTCGGTCGAAAAAAGGAAACACGTTTTTTTGCGGAAAATGTTTTTTTTTGAATTTTTTCCTCCACACGTAAGAAAGACCGATGGAAAACCGAAAAGCCGAAAAAACAAAAAAACAACAACTAAAAAGCCAAAAATGTGTGCAAGAAAATGAAAAAAAAATCGAAGGGAGCGCCCATAGCGTAGCACGTGACGGCTAAGAGCGTGCCAAGTCAGCCCACCCAAATTGACCCTTGGAAGGCTGTTTGGCCCCACATGACAAGAGCTCAATTCTTCGAAAATGCCAAATGAAGGACGAGCTCTATGGAGACTGATTTTTGAAAAATCCTAAATTCATATTTTGCATTTCATTTTTAAGGTACACATATACCCAAAGATATGTAGGTCATAGGCGAGCTACACCAAAAAATGTGGCTTTTCACCACAATACCATATTCATTCTCCAAGCCCCTTGAATTTTGTTTTATTTTGTGCAGCTCTCAATTCAATGACGCACCCGAGCTGAAAATAATTTAGAAAAAAATCCAAAAAGTCTGAAACTTTCTCGGAACAAGTATTGTTAGTGTATTACTCCCACGACAATGCATAGGAGCTCTCAGGGTGTCATGCACCCTATTTGAACAGTAAAATTTTAAAAAAATACTAGAAAAAAATATATTAAAAACTGATCTGTTGGAGTATCAAACCTGGTCGTTAATTCTACCGGCATACGAAGTTTGGCGAAGAAATGACATCTGTGGTATTCTTAGTGAAGAAAATATAGTCTGACCTATTTCATTCAAACCTTTTTTATATAATCGAAATTTCTGTCTTTGCTGAGACCACGGATGCCATTTCTTCACGAAACTTCACGTGGGAGTAGAATGGTCGATCAAGTTTGATACCCCGAAATCTCATATATATTTTTCCTAGTATCTTCTTTGATTTTACTATTCATATAGGGTGCATGGCACCCCAGAGCTCCTAATCCGTGTCCATTACTCCCATGTATAGTTTTGCGACAAAATGACTTTCATGGTATTCAAAATGAATAAAAACAAAACTAATACTATATTAAGCTTGCTACTATTCGCATAGTTTATACTTGCAATTTTGTCTTTTTTGCCAACAATACCTTTCTTTTGCGAAATGAGGCAAGTGTTATATTTATGTCGAATATATTGTGTACGCAAGGGGTTACGTGGACTTGGAGTTGTAATTGATGTGGTTGGGTATGAGTTGTGTAGGAGTCGGACACTTGTATCCTAGGCCTCTTATATACGGAGAGGCACCACACGTTGTAACCCATGACGACTTAATAGCAACAGGTACGCGGGGGAGCCGACGGCTTGTGCCGGCGCCCGGGCGGCCGGTGTTGCGGTATCTTGGGGAGGAGCACCCCTAGTCATGCCCCGAGGATGTAGCCATATCGGTGAACCTCGTTAGCAAATATCGTGCCTCGGTGTGTCGCCTATGATCTTACATTAGCGTTTTATTCTAACAAGTGGTATCATGAGCAAGGTTGCGAGAAGGCTATGCGGAAGATCATCCGGAGGTACGAGGATCATGCTCGACAGGTGCCATGGAACGTCCGATTGGCGCAAGGTGGAGCATGGCGGCGATCGCGGAGGCGGTCGGTGGTGTCAGACACTTCAGGCAGGAGGCCTGGACCATTCGGTGGGCTGCGGCCGGTAAGGATCGGCTAGACGTGGCGATCGGACCGGTGTAGTGGTTGTTGAAGACATCGCGGAGGCGACGGATTCGGCTCGCGATCAGACCGGCGACCAGACATGGGGGACGGCCGGATAGATGGGAGTGTGAGAGCATCGAGACGATGCGCTCGGTGTTGTACAAGGGCGGCGGCGCGACACTATGGACGGATTGTGTTGGCGACGTAGATGGCCAGGGTACGGCACGGCTCGTGCACAGATGATGCGCGAGGTGGCGTCTGTTTCAGCAGGGTTGGCGTACGGTGTGCGCGCGACAAGGCAAGTTACAGATCGCTGGCGAAGAACCAAGATCAGAGACGGGAGCTGTCGTCGTATACGGTGGCGATCTTTTCAGAGGCAAACGGAATCGAGAAGGTCAGGCTTTTGGTTGCGGCGCTGCGTACACGAGAAAGCGCACGGAGCCACCGACGCGTGTGCTAGTCGGTCTCGGAAACAGCGGACGTACAGGCAAAAGGCAAAGGATCAGCGGGTCTACTCGGATAAGGTGCAGCAAAAGAAACGAAATCGTACTGGCGCAGAAGTCCAGGGGATTAATGAGCACGCGGTCAGCCGATACAACGTGTACGTGCGTGTGGATGTTTTGGTCCAGGGACAAGCCTACCGCTGGTTATATTGGAAATAATAAAAAAGGAAGGTGACGTGTGCATGCAAACTGGGTCCGTGTGAGACTTGTTTTGTGAGGTCCTAGCAAAATTGTGACAGGACTTGGGTTTCCGTGTACGAGAAGAAAAGATAACGCTCGGGTGATCAGCGGTAATAAAAGGCTGGCGACGCGAAGCAGCGAAGGGCACAGTATTCAATCTGCGAGTTTAGAAAAAAAAGGTGGAGCAGTCAAGTTTCTGCACAGAGCAAGTTGATCTGCGTGTTTTGGCGACAGGTTCCACAGGAATTTTCTGAAGGGGGATAGGGACGTTGTGCTGGTTTGTATTTCTTGGTAGATCGCGGACTGCGGCGTGGCTTCAGATGAGGAATACGGGATCAGTGATTTTTTTCGTGAGGAAGTCACAGAGGAAAAGGGCGGTAAGACCGGCAGCAGCAGGTCGGTAGATCGCGGCTCGGCATGGCGCCGGGATTCACCAGGTTTGATTTGGAGCAATTCGATGGTATGGGTAACTTCGGTCTGTGGCAAACAAAAGTCAAGGATATTCTGGCGCAACAGGGAATCTTGAAGGGTTTGCAGGAGAAGAAGCTGGCCATGGTTGAAAACAATGTGTGGGAGGATATGCAAGTGCAGGCGGCCGCTACCATACGGCTTTGTCTTGCGGATCAGGTCATGTATCATGTCATGGACGAAGATTCTTCTAAGGGAATTTGGGACAAGTTGACAAATCGTTATATGTCCAAGTCAGCGACCAATAAGCTGTATTTGAAGCAAAAGTTCTATGGGTTGAAGATGCAGGAGGGGTCGGATCTTGTGGAGCATGTGAATGCCTTTAATCAGTTGGTCACGGATCTAGCGCGTCTGGATGTGAAGATTGATGCTGAGGATAAGGCGCTACTTCTTCTTGTTTCGTTGCCACCGTCCTATGAGCATTTGGTCATTACATTGACACATGGAAAGACAACCATCAATAATGAGGAAGTCACTGCAGCGTTGCTTGGGCATGAGTTGAGGAAGCAAAAGAATGCTACAGAGGAGAGTACTCAAGGTTTGGGGTTGGCAGTTAAAGGTTATCAGCTCAGGAAGGGACAAGAGGCGGAGAAGAAAAGGAAAAAAAGGTGCAGTGCTACAGGTGCAAGGATTGGGGACATATAAAGAGGGAATGCCCAGAACTGAAGGGTGGGGCAAGTGCTAATGCAGCTACTCATGGTGATGGCTTGGACAGTGATAATGATGTTCTCGTTGTATCAAACAGGCGGTCAACAAAAACTGAAGCGTGGATGTTGGATTCAGCTTGCTCTTTTCATGCGACGCCCAACAGGGAGTGGTTCTCTTCGTACAAGTCTGGTGAGTTTGGTTTAGCCTATGTGGGCGATGACGCATGTTATCGTGTTGCTGGAGTAGGTGACATCAAAATTAAGATGTTTGACGGAGTTGAGTGGATGCTTCGCGGAGTCAAGCATGTGCCAGGGTTAAGGAAGAATCTAATTTCGCTTGGTGTTCTTCATGATGGTGGTATGGAATTCCGTTCTGATCGGGATAAGAGGACCATGAAAATCATGGAAGATGGGGTGACCGTGATGATAGGAGAGAGGACGGCTTCACATCTTTACAAGTTGCAAGGAAGCACTATTGCACGTGGAGCCATGGAGAGTGGAGCTGCAGGAGTAGCAGTGAAGTCCCACGGTGGCGGCGGGTCTGGCCCGCTAGGTAGCTCTCAGTAAGCTACAAAGGAGACAACCCAAGTCCGGAGTACATGGAGGTTTGAGCATGGATGACTTCTAGGTGGTGGAGAATATTCGCCAAGGTGGAGTTTGTTATATTTGTGTCGAATATATTATGTATGCAAGGGGTTACGTGGACTTGGAGTTGTAATTGATGTGGTTGGGTATGAGTTGTGTAGGAGTCGGACACTTGTATCCTAGGCCTCTTATATACGGAGGGGCACCACACGTTGTAACCCATGACGACTTGATAGCAACAGGTACACGGGGAAGTCGACGGCTTGTGCCGGCGCCCTGGCGGCCGATGTTGCGGTATCTCGGGGAGGAGCGCCCATAGTCATACCTCGAGGATGTAGTCATATCGGTGAACCTCATACAAATATCGTGCCTCGGTGTGTCGTCTATGATCTTACATTAGCGTTTTATTCTAACAGCAAGTTCCAAAAATCCTCACTGATCACGTACGTGTATA